GATGAGCTGTGCAGGTGGCCGAGGTGGCAGGGCCTTCATTAGGGCTTTATCTCTGGATTTGTTCAGGGGGAGAACAGAGACCTTATCTGGGTCAGAAAAGCACTCCTGGGAGGGGAGGCAGGCATGTCTCTGTGTTGCTGCGTTCCTGTGTTTATCCCTCAGTGTGTATATGTCCACCTGATGGTACATATTTTTGGCTCTTTTTAAAAATTATTTTTAATTAACATAAAGTTTACCACATTAATCATTTTAAGTATGCAGTTCAGTGACATTAAGTACACGCATACTGCTGCGTGACCACCACCACCATTCATCTCCAGAGCGTTTGCATCTTCCTCAACTGAAATTCTGTACCTGTTAAATGCTAAGTCCCATTCTCTCCACTGCCCCAGCCCCTGACAGCCACCACTCTACTTTCCGACTCTGAATTTGACTACTAGGTGTCTCACGTAAGTGGAATCATACAGTCTTTGTCTTTTTGTGACTGGCATACTTCACTTAGCATATAATGTCCTCAAAGTTCCCTCATGTTGGATCATGTGTCAGAATTTTCTTCCTTTTTAAGGCTGAATAATATTCCATTGTGTGTCTATACCACATTGTTTATCTACTCACTAAGGGATACTTGGATTGTTTCTACCTTTTGGCTATTGTGAATAATGCTGCTTGAACATATGTGTACAAATTTGGCTCTGTTGTTTTTTTTTATATTTCCCTCCATGCCCATGTTTGTATAAGATTCCATTTTTCAAGTGAAAAAAAAACCACTGGATATTGGCAGTTTCACATGGCTCAACTCAACACATACAGGCATACCTCAGAGATATTATGGGTTTGGTCCTAAATCACCACAATAAAGGAAATATCTCAATAAAGAGAATCACACTAATTTTTTGGTTTCTCAGTGCCTATAGAAAGTTATGTTTACACTAAACTGTACTCTGCTAAGTGTGCAATAGCATTATGTCTAAAAAATGTGCATACCTTAATTAAAAATACTTTAGTGCTAAAAAATGCTATCATCTGAGAATGCAGAGTTGCCACAAAACTTCAACTGGCTAAAAAAAAAAAGCAGTATCTGTGAAACACAATAAAGCAAAGGGCAATAAAACGAGTTCTGCCTGTACGCTGTACCTATGTATAACTGACCTGTGCCGGTATGCACATTACACACCGTCTGTGTGATGTTTATATCTGCTGGACTGTCTTTAAGTATCTAGCTGCAGGTCAGCATATATTTACCTGCATGGGCATCTGTGTGTATTTTCTCTTGTATGTGTCTGGGTGCATATCTATTTGTGTGCATGAGTGTCTGGGCAGCAGGGATGGTCTTTAACTCTGGACTGTGTACTAGGTGTCTGTTCAAGGAAGCTCAACTGAGAGGGGCAGGGACAGGAAGACCTAGTTGACAAGGGCCCCAAGGGGTCCCTGATATCCTGATCATAAAGTGTGTAAATCGAATTTAATCCCCCAGGGCTGCAGGACTGGCCACCCTTCCCCATCGGCTGAGTGAGTGAAGGGCAAGGGGAGGCTAGACAGGTGTATCCTAGCCTGGGGCTGGGCCTAGAGGTGGGCACCCAAGCCATACAGATACCTAAGCCCAGACCCTGGCTGCAGTGTTTAGGGCACAGGCCCCTTAATAACTGTTATTAAGAGGAGGAAAAAATACTTTCCTGTCCAGGAGACGTGTCAGGCGCCTGCCTGGCATTATTCTGCCGTCCTGGGGGCCATTTAGCCTTGTCTGTTGTCTCTTACAAGCCGAGTGGCGCCAGGGCAGGTGTGTGGGGTGGGGTGGTGGGAGCAGAGGCTGAGCTGCAGCCCTTCAGTTGCAGGCCACACACCTTTAACGTGGCACCTCTGGGTCAGGGGAGACAAGACCCCTGGGTGGAGCTGCCAGAGCTAGTAGGGGAGCAGGGGTCCCATGTCCCTTGAATCCAGGCAAAGCGACCTAAGAGCCAGACACAGGGACAAGTAGTGAGGATTCCCAGAGGCTGGCTCGAGCTGGGTATTCAAAGATGAGAAAGATTTCATGATGTGCAGAGGGGCAAGGTGAGCATTCCAGACTGAAGGACTAGAGGGGCCAGGGTGTGCCTGTGAAAGGAACTGGGAGTGGTGGTGGGGGAAGAGGGCTGCCAGAAGGGCCATCTGAAGCCACACTCTGAAGAGGGCCTTGCTAAGGCACAGAGGTTGGCAAGTCCCTAGAGCACTATTTTAGGATAACTTAGGAAGCAGCCCCCCCAGGGGGAGTGTTGCCCAAAGCACCAGCCTCCTAGAAACAAACATGATGGGTGTGGTTTGCTGTTCTTAAGCACCCCACAGGCCTTCAGGAGGTCCAGCTCCGGCACGTAATGGGTGAGTTGAACAATCACAAGTCACAGGGGCTTCATCTGTAAAATGGGACCAAGACCACCTCCTTCACCACGTGTTGAGAGGACTGAGTGGGCTACTTGCATCAGGTGCCGACTGGAAGGAGGAGCTCAGTACCTGCTGAGTTTACAGCTTTGCAGGCCACAAAGGGGCAGGGGCTTGGGGAAGGCCTGAAGCAAACGAAGCAGCACCAGAGGAGCTCTCCTGGTCGGTCCCCTGCCCCTTCCAGAACAAAGGCCAGCCCTGAAGGTGAGCATTGCCCTGACCTGAGATTTGGTCTCTTATCCCAGCTCACAGGAGGCAAGGTCCTCTCTTCACTCTGAATACAGAGATGAGCATTCAGCAAGTGTGATCACAAGGAGTAAGGATTTTGGCATTCTCTTTCGGAAAGGTGACTGTGTCTGGGTCTAGACTGACGATGGGGTCTCACCCTTTTCCCCCCATCCTTTCCTCCACCCCACTAACCATCTGTCCACCATGTCCCGTCCCACAGTGGGAGACTTTTCCCTGCTCCCACGTTTCCATAAGAGGAGGGAATTCCCACTCCACTCTCCTGGAGGGTAAGTGAGAGAGGACCACACCCTCTTGTCTCTTCATGGGCTCCATCCTTCCCAGGGGAGGGGGATGGCTTATCTGGTTGGTGGCTGAGGGAAGGAGCTGGGCTCAGATGTTTCCAGGTTTCTCTATCTCTTTTGGTTCTGCTGTAGGCAAAAGTAGCATGTTCTCCATTGATCTACGTGGTAAAATTACAGAGGAAATTCTGCCCCTGCAAGGGAGAGAGGTCTTCCCTTTTTCAGAGGGGAATGGGTGCATGTTTAGTTCTGGGAGGATGTTAATAAGTTCATTTGGCCAGAGAGCCTAGAAAAAAAGGCTACATATTCCAATCAGCTTTATCAGAAATACTGGTAAAGCCACCACTTCGATTCCACATCTCTGTCTCTTGTGTCTTATTTCTCAATTCATTCTGAACTTGGGAGGGGAAGAAAGATATATTGCCTATTGCTCCCTTAAGCCCCCAACATTATTGATTCAGGCCTCTTCCTACCCGGCCCAGCCCCTCCCCTCCCCTCTCCCTTTGTCCATCCAATCCACCCAACATGCATTTAATGCCTACTTTAGGCCAGCACTGTGGTCCCAAAGATGAGTAAGACTTAGTCTCTGTCCTGGAGGAACTCACAGTTTAGTGGGGAAGGTAGACTCATAAATAATTATAAGCTACAGATTAAGCTGAGGTATAAACCAGCTGCTTAGGGTCTAGAGCTCATGACCTATTCTGGAATCTTAGAGGAACCATGTCCACCCTCCACTTCCAATTAGAGTACAGCTCTATGGCAGGCTTTCTCAGATGGAGACTGGGAAGTGCAGCAGTTGTTTCTGGCTGCAGGGAGAGAGAAAAAGGGGGAGGAGGCAAGCCAGCACAGGTCAGTGGTTCTGGTTCCTGACTGAAAGGCCTCAGCCTCCCATCTGTAAAGCAAGAAGGCTGGCCTGGGGATCTCCAAGTCCCTTCTGGGGCTCACATTGTGTTCTTTCACTTTTTGACATTACAGGTCAGTGCTTGAAGATTCCCTTCCTAGAAATCCCCCAGCCAGGATCTCCAGGACCTTTTCTTCCCTCAACAGAGGGATGGAGGCCCTTGACCTGGGCAGGATCTGGGCCCCGGGCTCAGCAGTTCAGGGCTCAAGGGAAGGCCCATGGACACCACAGAAAACTTGTGATGGGTGGTCAGCACCAGGGCAGGGGTGAGTGGGTAGAGGATCAGGGCCAGGGTCCTGAGGTCTGGCCTACCCCTCTGTAAGGCCAAACTCGTGAAGCGGGTGGGTGAGGCACAGTGGGCTGTGGTAGAAGGCTGGAAGTGGGCAGAACCAGAGCAACAAATAGAGGACTGCTCCCAAGCAGAGTTCAAACACTTTGGGGCTGTCGTGTTCTTGGCCCACACACCTGCCAGCTCCCCTTCCTTCCCCCAGCACCTCAATGGTTGATAAACTCTAGGTTCCCTGGGCAGCAAGACCAGTGAGCACGCTCCCTTCCCTCTCCACCCTCACCATCTGTCCTCCAGTCTCTGGTCTCAGGAAAGGGTTCCCTCCTCCCCTCCAAAGCCAGGCCCCTGTTCTCAAGA